TAAAAAATTCTTGGGTAGACGCACAGACACCATTCGGCACGTCCAGAGGCCGGATGGAACCACAGCTGAAACACAAGTAGACATCGCAAACACAATAGCTACATCTCTCGCCAATAACTCATCCCAAGCAAACTACAACACCACCTTTTAAAATATCAAAACTAACAGAGAACAACAACACCTAAACTTCCACCCAAACAACACTGAAACCTATAAACGCAGACTTCACAATAGACGAACTAACATCGAGCATCTTGAACCTGGGCAATACAGCCCCGGGACCGATGACATCCACAACCATATCAGTAGACACCTACCCTCAGAAACACTTACACTCCTACTAGACATATACAACGACATGTGGCGGTCGCACTCCTTTCCGGAGTCTTGGCTTCTCGCCACTGTCATTCCAGTACCCAAACCAAACAAAGACCACACACACCCATCCAATTACAGACTAATAGTACTAACGAGCTGTCTGTGCAAACTTAATGAAAAAATGATCCACAGGCGACTCATGTGGTTTCTGGAAACGACGGGCTCGCTGAGCGGTCTCCACTGCGGATTCAGGAAAACTCGATCCACTCTGGATCACCTGGTCCGCCTGGAGACCTTTATACGCGGAACGTTCGCTGAAGGAGGCCACATGATCGCCATCTTTTTCGACCTAGAAAAAGCCTTCGACACAACCTGGAAGTACGCCATTCTCAGACACCTGCACGCACTCGGCATACGCGGTCACCTCCCCGCCTTCATTGGCAATTTCGCGAGGAACCGTTCCTTCCAGGTTCGTGTCGGATCCTCCCTTTCAGACCCCCACCAACAGGAGGAAGGAGTCCCCCAGGGGAGCATCCTTTCTCCTCTCCTATTCGAAATCAAAATAGATTCCATCGTAAAAACCCTTCAAAACAGCATAGACAGCTCATTATACGTTGACGACTTTTTGATATGCTGCCGTTCGAAAATTCCTCATCTGATATCTATGGAAAGACAGCTGCACAAACTCGAAACGTGGGCAAATAATAACGGTTTCAAGTTCTCCCCGTCGAAAACGGTTGCAGTACACTTCTGCCGAACAGGCAGACGTGTGCTGCAGCCGGATTTGACACTATACGGAGAAAGGATTCCTGTCCAGGACCAAGCTCGTTTCCTCGGCGTTATATTCGACAAAAAACTCACATTCATACCACACATCAAAGACCTTCGTGTGAGGTGCCAGAAGGCGCTAAACGTTTTGAAAATTCTATCGCATCCGGAGTGGGGCGGGGACTCAAAACACCTTCTCCACTTGTACATCTCCCTTGTCCGGTCCAGGCTTGACTACGGCTGTCAAGTCTACGGATCGGCAAAACCACACATCCTGAAAATGCTAGACCCAGTATAAAACCAAGGATTCCGCCTCGCTCTGGGGGCTTTCCGCACTTCTTCGGTGGAGAGCCTCCAGGCCAAGGCAAACATACCACTACTCTCACTAAGACGCACACAACTCTCACTACAATACGCAATTAAACAGAGCTCAACACCGGAAAATCCAGCGCACAACTGCATTTTTAAAACAAACCCAGAAACCATAAACAAATTCCAAAACAACGAAAAACTCATCAAACCCTTAGGCCTCAGAATCCTTGAGGACCTCAAAAACTTAAACTTTTCCAAACAAGACATCCAACAATTTCTTTTCCCCGACCTGCCTCCGTGGCACCTCACCAAGGCAAAAGTAGACTTACTGCTGACCACACACAACAAAGAAAGCACAAACATCACAACTTTTAAAGCAGAATACAAAAAAACTAATAGATAAATACCCCGGTGCGGAGCTCATCTTCACGGATGGCTCCAAAAATTTAAAACATGAAGTGGGCGCCGCACCCCTATCTCCAGACAATACACACCAAAGGAGACTCCATCCTGAAGCCTCCATTTTCTCTGCGGGGGCCACTGCCATTGACATGACACTAGACTCCGTAGAAAATTCTCCTAACAAATCTTTCCTTATCCTTTCTACACACTCCTACATCCAAAAATAGCTAGGCTACAACAGAAAATTCATACACTATCCGAAACAGGAAAAAATATCATGTTCGCATGGATACCTAGCCATTTGGGCAACCGAGGAAACGAGCAGGTAGACGACCTGGCCAAGAAAGCCTCATCCCTTCTGTTGGGATCAACGACAAACACTCCCCCACAGACTGACTTTAGAAATAAAGTCCAAAAGTACACCACTGGGAAAAACAGAAAAATAATAAACTGTATACTATAAAACCCAAACTGGAACAGCGAAATCCTTCGGACCTCTCCAGAAGAGACGAAGTCATTTTTACTCGATTGGGCATCGGACACACGGCCCTGACCCACACATACCTCCTACAGGGAGATGAGAAGCCGTTCTGTGTTGGATGCGACACAGATTTTACAATTAGACACATCTTAACCGAATGTCTGGACTTTGGAGAGATCCGAAGGGAATATTATAAATGCAAGAAAATGCAAGACATTTTTTCCGTCGTTGGTCCGAGCAGAATTTTGAATTTTATGAAGGCCTTTGGCCTTTATGGCAAATTGTAAAGTGAAATCGTACTATTAAAATTTTTTATTGTTATTCATAAGAGTTGCTTTAAATTGAAAATACATTTACACCGAATTTTCATATTTTAGCATTTTAAAGTCTAATAGTTAACCAACCGTGCTGTGAACTTTCGCGAATGTAAACAACTTGTGTTTCGCGCGCTCATATGACCTTATGCAGTTGCGAGCGCCGTAAAACCCTATACTACTAACTAAGGCTTTTCGCTGTTTCATACAAAAGTCGTTCTCACGCAGTCTCGGGTTCTAACCCTAAGGAAATAAATACATCGCGCTAAAAAAGTTTCTAAAACAATATATGTATGAAGTAATGAAAGACACGTAGGTCTAATACTTAAAGGGTATGGCAACAACAACAAAAATCTGCAAATTTGACCCTAGTGTCCATTTTTGGCCAATATCTCCGTGTGCGGATTGCGAGAAGTAACTCATTTTGTCAGCACGCCTTACATAATATAATATTACATTATCGAGTATCTGTCCGTCAACGGGGACGCTGTATAACCATCAGCCGGAGTTAGCACTGACAGGCAGGGTCGAGGCAGGCCGCCTCCTTTATATTAGTTTTAAATGTGTCAATGGGGGCGTAAAACATGATTGTACAATCTTACATCCAAAGCACTAAACCCTCTTAACTTGCAAGGAACTGTCGTTACAGACTGAAGTGGGCAACCCACCCTACAATGTCATCGCTGCCGTAGTCTCCTTCATTTGGATAGTCAACATCATCTTCCTCTCGTGGCTGTTCTGCGGACGAGACAACGTCATGAAGATTCCACCTGAGATTGGTGAGTTGGTCGCCCCCCAAAAACGCCTATGCAGAAAAAAAAGGTTCATCACATTTATTGCAGTGAACGGTGTTCGTGATTATCTTTGCCGTCTTCGTTGTGGTGCTAGTCGCTCTTGTGGTCGTCAATGTTGTTGTTGTTGTTGTTGTTGTTGTTGTTGTTGTTGTTGTTGTTGTTGTTGTTTACAACATCAAAGTCTACCCGATTTGGAAAAAAGGAAAACTCTCTCAGAGACAGAAAAAAAGTCTAAATAACCGGATTGGCTTTTTCATGCGCAGCAACTATTTTCTGCAAATATCAGATCGGCCCAGCGCCCTTTCCATCTTGTAATTGTGGTTCAGCTTGCCTTCTTTTTGCTCGCAGCATATCTTCTGAAATCACTTCTTCTTTTCTTTCAAACATTCATCGTCCTTATCTCTTCTCCGTCTTTTCTTTGAAACATACTCTCTCGTAATACTTCTAATCTTCGGTTCTTATTATGCCGTAAAACTTTTGCTAATCTTAATCCAAAATGTCCTTACTGATTTGTAATAATCTTAAGTATTTCTCTTGTCTACGCAAGTTCTCATTTTTACGGCCTTGTGTTAGCATTGGAAACCAGATCACACAATAGAGCTGTCGTGCATGGTTGGCTCGTGCTCTGGTGTGGTTTGCTCCTTTTTTCCCTATCAATATCTGTCGCCTTTATCTTTCCTCCTTTTATGTGTATGTTATTATCTAGTAACGCCTTTAATGTTCAGCACTTATATGACTTACCTGTGTTTCAAGTTCCATAAAACTCTTACTAAAACTAAAGAGAGTTGTCGAACTGAAAGGAGTTGAGGATGTAGAAGAATGTTATTATGTTGGTGACCTCTGTATATGGCAATGTCTATTATCTGGAAACCATGTAAGCAGCCAAAATCTGCATCGAAATAATACAAGCAAACGGAATACAGGCAAACAGAGGCATAAGGGGCTGTTCAAATATAATCTTACACTTTTTTGGGGACTTTTTGACCCCCACCCCTTTCTTACACTTTTCTTACATTTGCCCTTACCCCCCCCCCCCCCCCCCCCCCCGTAATATTATATAGTTCGCTTATAATGATAAAAATAATATGACATTTATATCGCGCAAATCAGTAGAACAATCATTGTTCTATGCACATTGCATAATATTCATGAAAAACATGTATACACATACATGCACATAATATATGCACTAAACAATAATAGGCTTCACGACATGGTGGGATCAAGCGTTCGTCAGTTTTGATTTTGAGGCATACAGAGTTATTGCTATCATCTTAAACCCTGTCCATTTGTCTGCCTTTTGATGAAAACAATATTCATCTATGCTGAATAGAAGTCGAAATATTTGAGACTGAAAGAGGTGGGGTCACCTGATTTCAGAGGTAAATTTAGTGAGAAAACGGCCGTCAAAGTTTGATAACTTCAATAGCTTAAGAGCCTTTAAAACTGAAAAATCACAAATTTTGTGCATGTAATGAACATTTTTCAGTATGGACGTAAAAGTTGTTTAGCGCGAAAAAAAAATTCAATTAAAGTTCCCAAACCTACGGGAAAATGCCAGTTTTTTCACTTTCATCATTTTGACGAGCGCCTGATTTCATCACGCTGCCTCACAATTAGAGTAAATCATTCAAGGAAAATATTGCATACACACTCTTTCTTACTAAAGAATAGGAAAAATTGAGAATCATGTCTATGAAAAAAGCGCTTTAATTTAAAAAACCCAACAAGTTACAGTGGAATTCTGATAAAGTCAAAACCTCGGACAGAAAAAAGTGTTGACTTTGAGCAAGGTTGACTTTATCCATTGTACTACTGGCCATTGAAAATTGAAGATAACAGCCACAAAATTACAAAGTACCTGGTAATAAACAAGATGTAATCTCAATTTCAGGGAGTATATTCTGAAGTTATCACCGAAACAAGAGATAATGAAAGAACAAAGTACATACGTAATTGGGGGTGTGTACACCACTTGCTCAGGCGAAATATCTCTTCTTGAATGGAGTTCATCTTAGGATTTAGCCCCAAATTGTTGACTTTACGCAAGGTTAACACCCAAGCGGTTGGCTGTATCAGAAACACAATTACTTAAACTTAAACAAAGAAGGTAAGAAACGGGACTACAGTGAGGTGTGGACTGTAAGCAAGAGTTGACTTTAAGCAAGTTGACTTTATCAGGATTCCACTGTATCTTTGTTATTACTGGTCATTTATGCTGGAAAAAAACTGAAATTAGTTATCATCGACAAATGCAGAGTTCACCGTTATGTCAAAAATATTTTTTCACCTCACAAAAGTGTAATATTACATTAGTTTAAGACACCCCTCCCCCTTTCTTACACTTTTGTTACAGGAGCCAAAGACCCCCCCCCCCCCATCCCAGGCGTAAGATTATATTTGAACGGCCCCTAATTATGACATCCCCTGTATAGTAAAAAAAAATAAAAATATTAGAGACTTAATAGCAACTGGCATTGAGGAATATATCAGTTCTGGTCTTTTTCTCCCCCTAATCACCAAACGACAAATATTTTGTCGAATGATCCTCTCTTTTCACAAACTAAAATCGAATCACTTCGAGGACAAGCCTACTCTGGTCCTCCTGGGGTCACTCATAGTTCAGAATGAGGTTTTGCTTCCTTCCCTCTTTTCTTTCTTCCTTCCTCCCTTCCTTCCTTCCTTCCTCCTTTCCTTCCTTCCTTCCTTCCTTCCTTCCTTCCTTCCTTCCTTCCTTCCTTCCTTCCTTTCTTTCTTTCTTTTTTTTCTTTCTTTCTTGGCGTTGTCAGTAAACTGCAGAATGTAGCTCTCCAACAATGACCGTCATTTTGTTCTATTTGCTGTTTTCCGTATCCAGGTTGTTCCCGTCTCCTCTCTGATACCATCATCTTTTTGGTCTTCCTTTTGATCGTTTTCCTGTTCTTGGCCTCCATCAGTGAAGCTACATGTATTTGTCCATCTGTTATCCTTCATTCTACCGATGTGACAAGCCCATTTCCAGCTCACAAGATACCAAACTTAAATTTTGGCTTTACTAAGACGTCGTTTGAGGAACTTTCTGATATTGAATTAATATTTAACAGCTAGGTAAATGTAATCGGTGGGAGATTGGCGGGTGCTCTGGTGTGGTTTGCTTCTTCTTTCCTATGAGACATCTACCGTCCTTATCTCCCCTTCTTCTTTTTTATGTTTGTCACTCTCTTGCAACACCTCTAATCTTCTGGCGCTCTTATGACCTTATGCAGTTGCGAGCGCCGTAAAACTCCAACAAAAACAAAATGTAACCCGATATCATAACTCTTCTTGCCAGAGGACCGAATTCTTCTTTCGGGCCCCAAGCACACAAAAACCGAGCAGAGACAGCCTGGAACGGATTTTTGCGGTGACTGCGAAGACTTGGCTCTTAAAGTCGACAAAAAAGTGGAAGCAAATGCGTCTGTAACGAGAAACAGACACGAAGGTGTTGGAATCTGTCAAAGGGCAACTCGTGGCTTTCCTTTCAGCGGTCTACGAGACTCGCATCGCCGTTCAGATCGCCACACTCTGAAAACTACCGCACGGCAGTCGCCCATCAGTGCAAGGAATAGCCAGTCGAGCCGCCTCTTCACCAAATCGTCCCTAAGAGAAGAGAAGAAAGGCTTGTCCATTTCGCAACGCTTGCATTATGGCGGAACAGGGACACGTCTGTCCAGTCAGTCATGGTACCAGCCCCGCGATCCGTACCCGGAACTCAAGTTTTCGACTTGCCCAGAGCGTCAACATGTGAGAACCCCCCAGCTTCAACAACCCGTTCTGGCCTCTCCTGTGACTCATGTCGCTCCTGTAACTTCTGGAAAAGAACCATTGGTCAATCAAGAGGAAGAGGAATGTACATTCCAGAAGAAACGTATTATCCTGTCAGGAGAATCATCGAAAGAAGAAGAGCAAGTAAAGAAAGAAAGAGACGATGCTGTCCAGAAGGAGGTGAAGAAGCTACAGAGGGAAGTGTCTGAGATGAAACAGGACGTGGAGGAGTTTAAACAGGATAAACAAAAGAAAGAGAGCCCTTCCCATGTACCCATAGCGGGAGACGTGCCCATGGAAGGGCAGGCCGCTGTATCAGAAGCAAAAAGCCTGCCGAACCACAATTTGTCACAGCAAATGTCACCACACGCCGGTTCGATACTTCGACATCGCAAGCCCAACAAGAATAAGTAAGTGGTGGTTCTACTACAATGTACATGTATTTCTCTCACGACGAAATAACAGCTAGAATATGCCCCACAATCTTTTGTCTAGTTTAATAATGTTACCTTAAATCACTTAGCCTTTTGGCAAATTTACACGTTTTCCATTCTACTAGTATGAAGTTAACACAGACAAACTTATGCTCATTTACCGTTAGCATAATAGCAGATGCGTGTTCACAGGTAACAGCTGGGAGCCGTTACCTATCTTTAATAATTATAAAACTACTAACTGGGCCCCCGTTCGATGAACGGATTGAGACAGAAGGATGTTGATTGTTCCCAGTAGCAAGAAAAAGAATTTGACAAAGGAGTCCAGAAAAAGCGTTGATGGGCATCAAACGAAAGGATCATAGTCGAATTTAGCACCAAGTAAAAAACGAAAACATGAGGCTAAATCTATTATATGGGTCGCACACTTATAACAGTTTTCAGTATTGCGCGACTGTGCGTGATAGTATCGAACGGAAGTAGGCTACGACTTGAAATAAACAAACCTGGCGGATTTTCTAAAATTACAGAGACAGAAGCGTCGGCCTACAAAAGCGATCTGCGAAATAAAGAAATTTAACTTTTTACAGCAAAACTGTCTCAAAACTGAAAAAAACCCCGAAGGGCATCATGATCTGGAGAATATTTTAAAGAATCTTTTGTCGAAAACCGCATGTCGATCGATGCAACCATTAAAAAAGCCTTTTGAATAGCAAAATTCGGCCACCACAAATAGATAATAGATACAGGCTGCCAGACTGTTCTTCCCCCTATGCCCAACCGACAGTTGACTCCGATAGAAATTCCTTTCAGGGTAATTTAGTTTAAGACTTTGCTCTGGTGTTGGTAGAACGATCCATTTTGGAAGTGCTGAGGTGAGCTAGAATTGGAATAAGACGGATACATGGGCGCTACTCAGTGGCGACAGGGTGTGTTCGTAATACTTGTATGACCTTAAGCGTTCCATACACGATCAATTATATTGTGCAATCCTGGTTGCTCAATATAATTGATAGTTTTTAGGTTGCACACGCACATCTTAATATAATTGACAATTAATTGCGCAAATCAGGCTCATTTTGATCTTGTAACACGCTGAGACAAGATGGGTGATTTCGACTACGCTGTCGCTGTGGCTGTTGCTCTTGCTACTGAATACGAAGATGATTTACCAATTTAAGTAAAGGTGGGAAATGACCAAAAGAATGGTTTCTTCAGCGTCCAAAATCGCAGCATATTTTTCGGAGTCAAGCACTTCCTTTAATTCATTGCGATAATTTGTTATGTGGACATTGATTTTTAAAATTTTTTTTACATTTTCCCTTGTATAGCTTTGGTACTTTTCCTCGAATCTTTAAAATCAATACGCCGTAAGATACATCTTTCTTTTGTTTGTTGCTGTAATCGTCACACTTCAATTTCCATAAGGCTAGTAAACTTTTGTAAACCACGATACACTCCAACTGAAATGCCCTGTCTTCTTCTTTATCTGACACCCCAGACACGATGACGGAACGAAATCTGGAAGAAAAATGATTATTGCACAATTTAATTGACGGTCGCCACACTCAGTCAATTAAATTATGTAAGCAAGTAGACTTGCTCTATTAATTAATATCGAACTGATTTTGATTGACTCCAAACAAATGCGCAAGTCGTCAATATAGCCCATACACGGCCTATTTAATTGTCAATTCCGAGTATTGACAATTAGACTGCACAATATACCGTAATTGATCGTGTATGGTCAGCTTAAGAGCATGCATCAGATTACCATTGAGTTACAATCAGAATACTGAGTATGTATCTAACATAACATTATTATTGTCTATATTACTGTTCATTTATATTATGCATATGACAGTAAGCCTGTTTGTGAGTGTAAGCATACACAGCGTGTGTGGGCATGTTTGTGTGTGTGTGTGTGTGTGTGTGTGTGTGTGTGTGTGTGTGTGTGTGTGTACGTGCGAATGTGTGTTTATGTGTGTATGTGTGTACGTGGTGAAACACCAAACCAATGTGCCTGGATATGGACAATAAAGATGAATCTTATCTTATCTTATTTCTAAAATAAAATTAGCTATAATAAACTATCTTCCCCAAATGTGCTGTCGTGCATATATGGGTTGTGCGCTTAACTTGAATAGGCATCAGATTTTTATTTTACACCTTCCAATTTCTAACCTTTAAATCTAATCCCGTGGGTGGTTGGCGGGTGCTCTGGTGTGGTTTGCTTCTTCTTTACTATCAAACATCTATCGTCCTTATCTCCCCTTCTTCTTTTTTATGTTTGTTACTTTCTTGTAACACCTCTAATCTTCTGGCGCCCATATGACCTTATGCAGTTGCGAGCGCCGTAAAACCCTCTAATTAATTTTTTTTTTTTTAAATCTGATCATTGATCAAAACCAAGCCGTGCTGTGAACTGTTGGGAATATATCCAACATGTGTTCTTCGCGCTCACATTGCGAGTGAAGTAAAACTCTTACTAAACTAAACTATAAGACCTTAGATCTACTTCCAATCTGTTTCATAGCAGATCACAGATTTCATTTCTGTAATACTAACAACGTCCTCAGCTGTCTCGAAGATAGTCTTTGGATAATGTATTTGTATTGCATTTCATTCATTCATGAAGTGCCAGATCGGCGTCTAACATCGGCGATCTATCTTGGTGCGCCATTTGTCCCTTAACTCGGATGCTCTCAAAAAGATATATAAGCAGGGGCGGTTTGTTGACTGGTGCGGTCAGATTTTTGTCAACTGAACTGTTGACTAGAGATTTATTGCTGATGACGATTTCCATTCAGTTTTAAGTAAATCCAAACAAACATGTATCAACATTCAAAAACATCTTGCCGATTTGAAGGCACTCAAATAGACAAGTGGGATTCACTGCTGTTTTGTCCCGACATAACCTCATTCCTTCACGTTTGTTATCGCGCCGGCTCGTAACTTTAAATCGTCTCCCGTCAAACCGTCACGTCGCGGAACTTCGCACTACGTACGAGGCCAAACACACGGCGGTGGACAAATCCATCTTCAGCCCACAGAAAGATTAGAATATCCCTTAATTGCCAGATTGGCCTCTTTGTAGCTTACAAAATTAAGAATGAGACTGTCTTGAGCAGCACAGACATATGTATTATTTTACCAGCAAAACATGTATTTATCATTCAGCCTTTCCCTAACTACTATCAGTGTATCAGAACATTTATTGTCAGCATGGCACTACTCTTTTTGGTTTATTGACTTTTTAACCACCTATAGCTCCTGTTTGGCATTTACTCATCGTTTTGTCCCCTCTAATAACTTACCTGGCCCTTAGGAGTCTGACCGGCGAAAGAAGGAATCGTCTAGTGAAGATATACAAGGAAAATTTTAACGAGGAGCGACAGACACTCGGCTGTCAGAGTCTGGACCGAAACCCCCCTCCCTTCCCTCCCCTTTTCAACCCTCACCCCAGCTAGACACCAAGTTCTATAATTAGCATTTGACACACTTCCCCACTTTGTTACAACACAGTATTCAGTGTTCAGTTCTGAGAACTGAGAAGTGCGATGAAGTACATTTGATGATATAATGATCGGAATAGTGTGCTTTGTCCAGCTTTGTATAGCATCTGATTGTAGACTTGATCTGCTTGGGACAACGTCACTGGTACAGTAGCAATTGACTTTTTGTCATCATACAGGACAGTTCTTATTACATATATTTAACGGGTTCAGTGCACGTCGATATTTTGTGTGGGGGTGTAGAAAGTACGAGTAAAGTACTGTACTGGAGGCCAGGACCAGCTGTTTATTGCTTCTCACTTTCTGTTTGTTTTCTAGCTTAGACTCAAGTAGTGTGTTTCTTTTTCTGTGCCGATCAAGTGAGTTTCTATTAATCTCAGTAACTTCCATCTTACATTATTCATAATATTGTTTCTTGACGCTACCGCATATTTTAGCACTTTCACTTTATTACAATGTTTACTGCGGTGTGTGTGTGTGTGTGTGTGTGTGTGAGTGGGAAAGGGGGTGGGGATGGTGAAAGTAGGGGTATAAAATAAGGAGAGAGAGAGAGAGAGAGAGAGAGAGAGAGAGAGAGAGAGAGAGAGAGAGAGAGAGAGAGAGAGAGCATGAGTGTGTGCGTGTGTGTGTGTGTGTGTGTGTGTGTGTGTGTGTGTGTGTGTGTGTGTGTTGTGAAGGAAGGGGGTGGGGGGAGGAAAAATAGTCGACGTGAATGACCGCCGGTCAGTTCTATAAATCACGAGCCGCCATTGTATATAGGTATCATTATCTGTATTGATTGCCAAATTGTATTTCCTGCTTGAGGGACGAAGTCCAACTTAAGAGTATTTTTGCATTCGTCTTCCTACGCTTAGCAAACATTATTGTCATTCTACCTTTTTTAAAAATCTGCAGACATTGTTCACAACACGACGTAAAAGAGAAACACGATGTAAAAGAGACGACCAGGTTGACCCCCACCGTTGACTGGCATGTGTACGACATAAGAAGCTTTGCTACAATACCAGAGAGGGTTCTGGAGGTCATGACCTGCCCACGAAGCGATGACTGTGGCCATGACCATTCACGCTACAGAGTGGTGGGATGCAAAATCTACGTCAGCCCGGAATTTGCGGTGGAGGATCCGAACAATAAAGACGGCTGCGCTCAGGTTACTGAACTAAATAATGAAATACTAAAAGATATTCAGGGCAAGACATCTGAGGTTAAAACCTCCGAGAATTGCGTTCTAAATAAGAACAAACCTTCGTCCATGCAAGACACAAGTTCAAAAGGCTCCAAAGCTTCACAAAGTGTGAAACACTTTCCAAAAAGGAAGCCAAAACAGCCTGCCACAGGTGCATCTCTCTTGACTTTTGAAAAACAAACTACTTCTTCTGAGAACCTGCCCGATGGGTGTGTAAACTTCACGAAGTCATTGTCTTCCATTGAAGAAAAGATATGGGATGATAAGAAGAACCAAGCTTCGTTAAGAAAGAGACACTACACGAATAAAGCTATGAATACAGATCAAAACAAAGTATATTCCTCTCAAATGCCTGCTGATCTCCGAATCACCAAATCTCAAAAAAAGGAAATGCATGAAATGTGGACTCAAATGTCCCTTTCTAGTGTTGCAAAAGACGAGACGGCGCCGAATGTATTAGACACGTCAACACAAGTCAGCTTGTTCCAAGAGAAAAAGCCACTCACCATTATAGCACAAGGAAAACACAACAGCCCACCATGTCCTGCAACTGAAAGGAAACGAGAGCGAAAGGAAGCAGCCTCTAAACACTGCGAGTACGACATGAAGATTCGCGCAGAGAGGGACGGGACTCAGGCAGCAGACAAAAACAAAGCAAGTGTGATACACTCGGAAGTTCACATTTCCACCTCCCATCATATATCATCTCCATCTTTTAACGCTATCTCTCAATTCACCAAACGCTACACACACACGTACCCTGTGGTCAGCCAGAATCACCGCCCCGTGCTGTCACCAGGCGGTATGAGTGGAGAGCCCGTGAACAAAATAGAGATGACCCCATTGCACGTTAGTCCCGTAGTTCAGAAAGAGCAGAAGATGCCACCACCGCCGACAGGGTATCACATCAGAAATGACTTTAGCACTTCAGAAACAACCATGGAGGTACTGAAGATAAAGCAAAAGAAAGACAAGAAGAATCCATTTCGGGAGGACAGTCCAGTCAAAAGTCCCCCGAGAAAGAAAAACCGGCAGAAAAAAGGCCTGGAGGAAGAGAGAGGAATCTCTCGAAGCCAGTTGTATGCTATGTCGGCGCGCAAACCCTCTGCATCTAGTGGGAAAAGTCCTCCGGTTGGTTCTCAAAGCACAATCCTGTCAACGGAAAAAGAAAAGGAGGGTAGGGCGAACAGGGAAAGAACAAACAAATTCCTGATTATAGGTAAACTGAATTATTTGAGATCCGGAGGTAGCGATCGTAGAGAAACTATGGTTCCAAGACATGTTCCATTCCTGAAATATGCTGACGACAAAGCTGACAAATCAAACGTGAATCAGGATATCCGATGTGTGCCCTCAGGAAGATCTAGGAAACATTGCCATACCTTTAGGTTGTGCAATACTAGCCGCTCAGCTCACGAACAAGCAAAGAAACTAAGGCGACGGTCAAAGTACGAGAAGAAAGCAGCAAGTCCTAAAAAGACTTCCCGCTACTTCCCCCTATCCAAAAACTCCATCTTATACTATTACAAGCCACTGTCTCCAAACGTTAAGAGTAACAAGACCCCTCGTCATTCCCAACGCAGACACCACAGTTCTTCAGCACAGACAAGACACGGAAACAAAAACCTAAATCACAATGCATTCACTGCTTACGGTAAAGCCAGAGGTTACACACCATCTTGGCGCTTTTCTAAACTCCCACTCCATGCCATTATCAGTTGTAACAAAATCTCGCCAATCTGCGGTCTGAATACGAACACAAATGCTGGAGGGTCTGAGGAGGCAACAGCTGAAATTGATGCTGTTCCACAGGTAGAAGTAAATAAACCAGTGGAAAATGCTGTATGTCTGGAGGAATGTGAACAGTTGGCTTCCGCGGCAAAGACTGTAGAAGATGAGTCTGATGTTGTCGTTTTCACATTTCACGAGTCTGCAGATTTAGAGCCACAAGACCCTGCCCACTCTAGTTCCCCTACTCTTGGTGCAAAGACATTGGTGGTAGAAGGCAGGCAAACAACCCTAGAGGAAAACAAACAGGACACAGTAGAGGGCAGTGCAGCCAGCACTGAGTTACCTCTTATCAAAGATGAAAGCATCGAAAGTGGATTGTCTGAAGAAACAGAACAAAAGTCCAAGAAAGACGCAATACAGAAACAGTTTGTAAAAAACAAAAAGAAGACAAAGACGTCCGAAACATTATTTATTAAATTTGAGAGCAGTGTATCCAAAAAGTTTACAACGACCACTGTAATCAAAGACGCCAGAAAGACCTCATCGGGCCACAACCCCCCCGGGGCCACTCAGTCCAAGTCAGACCACAGACAACAAAGCTATCAGTCAGAGTCAAAGACTGGCATGAACAATCTAGACAAAAGTCAAGCCGCAGTTCCTGCCAACGCGTCCCCTCTTCGGCACTCTAAAATTCTGAAGTTTCCAGACGGGCCACTGAACATTGCAGATGTAACAGATAAGCCTGTTCTGGTTGGTGAAGTGCCGGAGATGCACAAAACGGAAACTGAGCCAGACCTCATTCCATTAAATGACCTCTGTAACAGTGGTAAACAGGACCTCCAGACAGAACCCCCGGCGGGAGGAAAAAATTTACCTGCAGTAAAGCGTATCGTGAGAAGCGTGCAACTCGAAACCAAACCAATACCTAGTCCAGTCGGTCGTTCAAACACAGACAGCCGAAATGAGCCTGAAGCTAATGCTACGACTAAATTTGTGAAAGACGAACAGTCTAAACCTGCATCTCTGACATCCTCTGGTCAAACTAGAGGGAAATCTGGTTCGTCAGGGCAAAACATATTTGTGCCCAACTCCGACACATACGATCTACCAAAACAGGTGAGTATTCCCAGTGAAACAATGAGAGGAGATACGCCTGAAGATGAAATGAAGTGGGAAAATAATCAGGGAGAGAAACAAGAGGAGAAGAGCCAGATAGAAAGTACATCGAAAAAAATTAGACCAGTTAAATCAGATGCTAAAAACTCTGGTGGTCAACACCGAGGGTCGAAAAAAGAGAAAACAAAAGGTCATAAAAAATCTGGAAAGAAAAGAGCCCAGATTCCCAGTACTGGGGTGAGGTGCAGGTTGCGTTTTGCTAAAACTAAGGACAAGAAAGCTTTCAGTGACACGGAGGAGTCCGGTGCAGTTCAAAGTGACACGAAGAAGACAAAGAGCATGAAACACGCAGAGAAAGAAAAGAAAAAAAAAGGGATAATCAGAATCCCGTCGGCAAGTTATGATGGGTCTCGGGTCGCCAGTCAGACAACAGTAAAAAAGACTACGTCTTTGTCCTTGGACAGAAAAACGCCAAGAAGCAGATCAGGGAGTCCAGCTAATTATCCACTCCTAAGCAGGTCTGCGAGTACGTCTCTATCTCCTCAAAGGAAGGACTTCCGCAGCCTTAGCGGTGCGCTAGTAGAGAAACATGGTGAAAAAGACAGGCCCTGTTTAGCTGATGAATGTGAAAGTAAAGCATATAAACAAGACTTTAGAAGACGTGCTAGTTCAGAAGATAGTTCTGCCAAGCCAGAATGGAAACGTGAGTGGAAGGTTCACCACCAGGACGAAGAGCGTGCTCCTTCCCCATGCCGAAAGCCAAGTCGAGAGAGCAGAGACCGCCAGCTGAGCCCGGACAAGAACTTGGATGAGGGAGAAGCTGCTCTCAGATCTGCCCACTCTTCACCCGCATGTGCAGAAGCAGAGGATCTAGCAGCAACTGTTGCCGCCCAAGCTCTTTCAAACGCTAACAGTAAAAAGCAAAAGAAAAGTAATTCCGATCTTAAAGAGGCAGAACTTGGCTGGAACAGTTCACCTATCTCAGATTGTCAAGAAAAGACATCTGTGCGAGCAAAGCCTAGGCCGCCCAAGAAAAAGCTGAAGTACAAGCTAGTCAAAGCGAAACCGAAGCAGCCACAATCCGATTTAAAGATCCCCTTAGATCTCGAAATGCCGTCTCCTCAACGCGACGTTTCTCCGTCTCTCAACATGAGAGAAGCTGGTGATAACGCGGAAAAAGCAAACAAAGATATGAAAAAATCCGAATTCACAGAGGCTGAAAAAATATTGCCTACGGAAGGAAGGGTGGTGCAGTTTTCGGACAGTGTCGAAACATTTGGAGCCAGTTCCACAGACGGTGCTGTAGGTGGACAAGATTTTGATGGAAGCCTCCAGAGAGACGAGGAGTCTTTTGTTTTTCCCATCAACTCACCACAAAATCCGAACTCCCAGATGCAGGCTCAGGATGCTTTCTGTAGTGACGTTGACGTTTCGGACGTCCAAAAAGTCACAGAACGGACCAAACCACCTCAAGTACAACCCCATCCTCTTCCTAAAAGAAAGATTCCCGTGTGGGTTCGGAATAAGAATAAAACAACTCAAAAGGAGGGAACAAAAATCAAGCGGAAACAGTCTCCCATTAGCGGGAAGGATCCAAAGCTTTCTTTCCACACGCGCTCCCATTTGGCTGGCACTACCCTTAGATATCACCTGTCCCCGAAAACTCCACCTCAGCAAGACAACACATCTGTGGTTTACAACACGAAGGTGAACAGTGCTTTCGAGCTGAAGCCACTTGATAAGTCCACAAGGAAGATTATCTCTGAGATCGGTTCTCCAGTTGACATCAAAGAGATCATCGAGGGCAGTTCAGTTGACGCCCCAGAACACCAGGGAAAGCGCCGCTCATTTTCTGGAATCTTGGCCACCAAATCTGCCCCGCACGTGGGAATCAAGAAGGCAAAGCAACTGGATTCGAAGGATTACGTTGAACCTTTTGCAGGGAGGCGTCCGAAGAGCGCGTTTGACAAAGCTGGTTTTGCGAGCAAGCGCCTAGCTCTGAAGAAACCTGATGGGTCGACAGAAGCTGGTGCGGTGCGGCTACCTTCAGCTGGAGAGACTACTGACGGAAACACAAGGTAGGACACTATTTCTTGTCTAATCTCATTCAGATATCTCTCGCGGTAAGTTAGCAATCTCTTTAAATTGTTTGTTAGGTTAACACGGATAAGGAGAAAGAGAGAGAGAGAGAGAGAGAGAGAGTGAGAGAGAGAGAGAGAGAGAGAGATGGGGGAGAGGGAAAGGAGAAGAAAAAGCCAATGAGTGAACAAGTGTTTAATGGAAACTTCTCCGACGCCAGAATGATGATAATAGTGTCCGTGGGAGTGTGAAGATTAAAAATCAATCACAATAATTGTATCAACTGTGAATAACTACATGGCATAGAATTGATGGTTAGAGGGCACCGTATGAGGTCCTAATAATTTTCTTTCCCTCTATTGTTTCTGTCTGCTCACTTTGCTTTCCCCACACAACATATCTACTGGATTCTTGATTTTGTTAAGACCATTGGTGTCTTATTTCAAGGTGTTTTGATTTAAAAGTGTTATTTGAAACTATAAATTGCTTGGGGGGGGGGGGGGGGGGGACTAAATTTTACCGTGTACTTGTATATTATTTTTAGATACTACAACAATTTTGACTCGCAAAGTAAATCTAAGTCATGCTACGACATAACGGGAAAATGACTATTTTATGTCCCGTGCGCTCTTATGACCAATATAAGTGTAAGTGCGAGCGCTGTCAAACTTTTTCTAAACAAACAACATCATGCTGGTGCATACTCTTAATGCAAGCTTCAACTATTCCCAGGGTGTTGACACGAAGAGAGGGAAGTCCCAAGGCACAGAGGAGCCCTCGACTCTCCCACTCCACAGATTTGGACCAGGCTGCCGGAATAAAGATCAAACCAGTGACCTTCTCAAAGAGCGTTCCTCACTGGAGCAGACCCCCTCGCCGGGATTTCAAAGGGACCAAAAAGGTGAGGAAAAACAGGGCCCCAAAGGCCGGCTAAATGGCTCTACTGGTATGATGTTCGCCTGTCAACTCGGAGATCCGTAGTTCGATCTCCGCCAGTGTCCGTTTCTGTTTCTCTACCTGATCTTAAAGTAGGTTGGATCGAGCTCCTAGTCTTCTTGGATAAGGACGAACAATATCGAAGGTCCTGTATGGGAGTTTCGCACGTTCAAGATCTCTTGGCGGTTCCAAAATCCCCCCCCCAAAAAGAAAAAATGGCCACAAATATTAGCCCTTACAACAGGCCTAGACGCGTATATTTTCCTCAAAGGTCACCGGTCACCTCAAACCCAGTCGGGCATTTAAACAAAAATCGTTATCTTTCCAATTATAATCTCTGTTGTACAACAATTAAATTCTCCTACGGGATCATTAAAATAGTTTTTAAAAACATTTTTATGAGATTACTTTTAAACGAATTGGGGGAAAAACAGGATACTTTGTGACAGGACAGATGTGTACTTGTTGTACTATACCCCCCCCCCTCCCTTTTTTTGTAGGTTGGGATTTGAACATAATATTTTCATTTGCATTCCACAGATTTGGGGTACGCATCAATGTGGGGAAACAATGTCGCTTTTCTGGCGTTGTAGTAGTAGGCCAATTATTGTATGAACAACTAAAATTGGATGAAAACCTTGCTGAGGTCATGAAAGGGAAGTGGGGGAAAAAAAACCATTAGGCACAGTAAGGTATGGTAACATACTATTATAGTAACACCTCGGTATGACATGCTCGGCTTAAAAGGCTAACACGGGGTGCCCACTACGGCTGGATCGGGCAGATCGCCCGACTCGATCGGGGTGCCCACTACGGCTGGGATCGGCCGATCGGGCCGATCGCCCGACTCGATCGCCTCAAAAACAAACGTGTTTGTTTTCAGTTTCAGGCGAGAGGCGATTGAGTCAGTCGATCGGCCTGATCGGCTGATCCCATCCGTAGTGGGCATCATCATCATCATCATCCATTGCCAGATCTGCGACAGACATCGGCGATCATGATTTTCCATTCATTCCTTTGCTCGGATACTCTCAGAAAAGCTACGTTTCCCTGATCTTTCCCAGTTACCCATTTGTTTAGGTTCCCTAAGTATGTTGTTCTGGGCCTACCCCTGCCTCGCTTGCCCTCAATTTTGCCAGTGAGAGCCGTAGTGGGCACCCCGTCTAAAGTAACGATGAAGAAATCAAGATTGCTGTGGTAAATTGGCTGAAAGACCAGCCCACTCAGTTCTACAAAGCAGCCATAATGTGGACTCACTTTAAAAAATGGACACTGGCTTGTTAACGAATTGGAGGCTACGCTGAGAAATAGAAATCTTCAATTTGCGGTATTAGAGAAGCACGACTTGGTACGCCCCCTCGTACCAGATGACCCCAACTCCAACCCTCCCCTTTTTTTCCTACCACATATTTGATATTGTGCACTTTGGTGCTGAGTTATAGGTTTTCCTGCCGGTAAAGGATTTGGGGGGGGGGGGGGGGGGGGGGGGGGGGCAAAAAAAAATAAAAAAAAATCCACCCCCCTTTTACATTTTGAAAACTTAAGTTTCTTGTAGCAGTATTTTGAGTTTTCTCTTGTATTTCTCAGCCCAAAAGTGCGTCTAGCTTGGGTAGCGCGGGTGTGGACGGTCTCTCACTCTCAGCTGACCAGGCCAGCCGCGAGGCGAACACAGACGGACTCCAATGCAGTGACAGGATGGACTTTGTAAGTGACGTCATTATGTAGGCCTACTTTACAACAATTTTTCTAGTGCTTTTATTTCTAGACCGCTGTAGATATGATTGGGGGTAGGGATGGGAGGGGGGGGGAGTGGACAATGGATAAACGGGTGGGAAAATTGGAGGACCGATTTAAATGGGAAAGAGTTTCATTTTGTAACTGGTCATGTAAGTGTGGTTTTTTATTCCCTTATTGACACGATTTTGATAATTTAGAAGGGGAGCTTCTGACTTTGTCTGTCCTTCTATAGCTCCTTCTCTTCGCTACTTACTTTACTTTACTTTTACATCCTCTGTTGCCGTTAATTAAGCGTCGAGGGGAGATGCAGTTTCCTATGGTAGGCCAGCTCCGCAGCTCTTTCAGTTGTGATGTTATGTTTTCATAGGGTTTCCTCGACACCCTCAATCCACCTTTTGCGTGGCCTTCCCCTTCCTTTATAGTTATAGCCTGAGTGCTTGGTGTTGTAGGCTCTCAAGGCTGGCTGGTCAGGTGACATGCGTAACAGGTGGCCAATCCATTGTATCCCCTGTCTTTCTATGTAACGCAGGCAGGACTCAATGCCGATAGTTGCTCTTACTTCTTCATTTCTCTGCCTGTCTCGTCTTGTGATGTTAAGGATTTTGCGGAGACATTTCCTTTCGCAGGCAGTGTTTTTGCTTTCATGGGTTTTGCCTAAGGTCCAGGACCTGGACCTCTCTTCCTTATGTCTCTCTCTCTCTCTATCTATCTATCTATCTATATATTCACGACACAGTTCTAAAACTAAAACATACGAATTGTAACTGAAGTTTAAGTAAGTGACTTACCTCGTCGACATTCTTGATGAAACCAAACTCAAAAAGCTATATGTTTCAACAGATTGTGCTGTTCGTATTCTAACGCATTTTGTTTTGTCATGTGGTTGGAAGATGTTTCAGTGTGATTTGATCCTGTTTTTCTGTCAAACGTTCATCGTTCATACCTCCCCCCCCCCTCATTTTGTGCTTGTTACTCTCCAGCAACACCTCAGATCTTCGGCACTTATCTGACCTAATTATTGTTTTGCAAGTGCTGTACAACTCTTACTAAAGCAAAGCATTTTGTTTCCACCAGAATGTACTGAACTTGAGTTTGTCGTGGGTAGTACAAGGAGTGCTGAACAAACTATCTTCCCTCAACTTTTCACGGCTTCGTCGTCCCCAAGATGGAGTGAATGCGGCTGGCGACTCCACCCCGGCACAGGCAGGCGTGCCCACAGAGATAAACTGACCTCTTACTTAGGATTGGAAGCTAGGTGTTCACCGATATCTCTAATTTATTCTAGGCAAGGAAACAAGAAGAGAGTAAGGAGATAAACTGCACATATTATTCTGCGAGGACACAAGTCAGTCAAATTGTCGAGTATAGACGCAAAACCACGACATTGTATGCTTCTCTGCTTGACAGGGTGGAGAATAATAAACTTTTGGGGATTTTACTCTGTGAATGTATAGGGTCTGGGATGCCATATATGACAACGCGTTTCGGAAGAATCGTGAACTTATCGTGTTCCTCGCAAAGCTAGTAGTCAACCCAAATCTGAACGGATCCATTCTCGATTACTAATCTTGCAACACAAGATTATGAAGTTTATGAAGGTTTAGGTACAACTTCTCAGATTATGAATGGTCCTAACTTCACCCAAATCGCAGTGAGGAGGTTGTTACATTACAGTATTCTTTTACTGTTTTGGGAGATATCTTGAGCAAAGAAAAGAAAGGACTGTTCTCTAATTAGGGGGTTGGGGTCACATGTTATAGACATATGTCACATCTCTTGTAATCTTTTTATAAATGGAGATGTAAAGCAAGGACTTATATAAACTATTGTTTCAGATATAATATACAAACTTGATTTTTTTTCAAAAGAAATATTACATATAATATGGAATCTAAACCTGTGTTGCGTAATTTCCTCTAGTCATAACATGCTCCATCCTTTGTGTTCGTTGGTGTCTCAGTAAGATTAGTTGCGAACGTAAAGCGCAGTACCTTTTGATAATAAAGTTAGACACAGCATGACTACTCTAAACACCAAGAAAACTAGATCTTCCTGCTGTCCTCTCTTGGTGTGTTGAACCCAGTAGACGAAAGGGGTCAAATATATTTCTTATAGATTTACAGATCGGAATTTGGTACATTTCGCAGACAACTGTCTCAACATCTGGGTATGTTATTCTTGTTCGTCAACTGCTCCCGATAATAAACCTGTGCACCTGCCACTCTTGATATCCGTAGTTCCTTATTTCCTGGCTGTTTTTATAGATCTCCAGAGTGTTCGGTTATTTGGCATCTGTATAGAGAAAAGAATACAGGTTTGGACTGCTTCGGCTGAAAGACAGTGATGTACAGTCCGTCTCCTACATGACAGAGATAAGAAGGTGGTGAACCTTAAAAAATCCTCAAACAACCGAAGTTCAAGAACAACATATTGAAGATTCAAACCAAGGTCATTCGGACCATTACCCGGCACTTAATTATAACAACTGATCAAACGAGGCCCCCCACTATGGTAAGATCTTGGAAGCGAAGACCAATGAAGAAGTACAAATATCATTTGAAAGAAATTATACCAGGAATTATAATGATCCTTTCACTATAGGGCGGGCTGCCCACCCACCAGCATGTTTTTGTAATCAACAGATAGAAAATTAGTAAAAGGCCTCAAAAATTGGTAATATGGAAAAGGAAAATCTTCTTTGATGGGGAGCAAAGGACAAGGGTTGCAGACCAGTAAACAAAGGCGTGATGAGACAAAAGGGCAGGAATTTTCTACCCCCTTATCAATCTAATGTTTTGCCTCACTCCTGATTTTGGCACTTCTAAATTCCAATGTTTTTCCAAGGGCAGTGAGGCACTGAGCGACTGCAAGGGCTCAGTGTAAAGAGGATGTTAATACAGTGGAAACCTGATATAACAGGGATGGTGGGACCAGAGAAAAAGTACTGTTATATCCGATTCACGTTAAATCAGAAATGCAAGGGAAGTAAACATTCGTGGACTAATCCAGCTGTACTTATTCATGGGCGGTATCCCTTGCCACAAGTACCCACGAACAGGGGTTTTGGCCATGTGGCGGGCCTGCGCATGACACATTAAGCGTGCGTGTAGCTAGGCTTAGGCTAGATCGAAGTCTGCAGCATACCGCAGCCCTCTCTCACTTCACCCGCTGCGTGTGTTTACAGTGGCGTGGCTTGCGTGGGCTTCTCCATCACTGCATTACACACACACACTCTCTCTCTCTCTCTCTCTCACACACACACACACACACACTTTTTACAAATTGTTAACAAGCCTTTGTCCGTACTATAACCGATTGAGCTCCGATGAGGCCCTGGTGTTATAGCCGATAACTTTTAATAGAGAGAAAGAGTAGGAAAACACGGGGATTTAAAAAATCCCCGTTATTACCGGATCCCTGTTATTACCGGCCTGTTATACATGGTTTCCACGGTACTGTTTGTTAGAAAACTGCACTTGACGTAGTGATGTAGACAGTCCGTGCCTGGTAGTTTTTCTATTTTTCTCCCCTTATACACACCAAGAAGGTTGGCAGTGAGTTGGGGACGCCGAAATAAAAAACAAAAAGGAGTCAGGGATAATATTACGATCGTATTTTCGTAAAATTAAATAAAAATCGTAACGCTTCCGCCAAGTTTGTAATGGTGGGCATCCCTGATGGGGTTAACGTTATTCAATTCATAGATGAGACCTCCAAATTAACATCCATCTCTGGGGAAGTGGAAGGACAGAGCTTAGTGTGTGGAGAATTATGACAGAATGACACTTCTCTAACAAAAACGTTACAGGCTGTTTAGTTGGAGAATCAAACTAGGATCACCTGCTCTGCGGTACAGAACTCTTCCCACCAAGTCTAAGTTAATGTGTGTACAGTTGAGAATTACTCATGCCCACACTCAAGCAAACCATTACAGTATTAATGTAAAATAACGCTTCATCATGCAAGCACGGGTGGTTGGAAGGTGCCACTAGCAGGTCTTACTTCTTTACCTTCATTCAGTCATTTCTGTCCTTTAATCTTTCTTTCTCCTTGCACTAACGACTTCTACTGTGTCAATATGCTTTTCACTCAAACCCCCCCTAGAAAAAAACAAAAAAACAAACCCAACCCTAATAGATTTCCAGGCTCCAAACACCTCATACAGTCTCAGTCAGTGCATTCTACTATTTTTCATCTTCAGTTTTCGACTTTTCCCTATAAGCTTCACTTGGTGCAACTCGCTGAAGGAATCTATCAAATAAACAACTTTTCACTCCCGACTATGTAAATGTACGGGGAGCCCTAATGTGTCTTTACTACTCCTCACATATTTACAAAACTACATTGATAAATCAATGCCCTCTCACTCTCAACCACATCTTTTCAGAAAAATGCAACGTGATATGAATCAAACAAAGGAAACTATTTTGGAAAAGATATATTTTATATAATTGTATACAGTAAATCAATACAAATTTTTAAAATAATATGTTGGAATAAAATATATTATAAAATGTGGAATTCTTCGTCAGTTAAAAAATGTATACAGGTAATTACTATTCAACATTTCTCAGAGACAAATGTTCAAAAAGCTTTTACATAACTGTAAGTGTAAGTAATAAGTATTTCCGTAGAAAAACAAAACTAGTAGAAGAAAATAATTTGATTTTAAGTCTTAAAAATTCTTTAAAAGGCAAAATATTTATAATAATAATATCACAAAAAGTATGTGTCAGAAAATTGTTCACAAAAACCAAAGCCAGGAAATGTGTGGCTTCATGGTGAATCAAGGCGCTCGTCAAAATAAATAAATGGGACAAATTGGCAATTTTTCACCCTTAGGGCAATTGTGTGTGTGCCTAAAGAAATGTATCAAAAGTCAGATTTTGACCATTTTGAGTTAAAGGTTGTACCTTATTATAGGGAATTCAATGCTGAACACAGGGGTTTTTGAATTTGTTAGATATCTCAAGTAGTTTTTGAGATATTGCACATTTTGCGAGGTAGGGTATAAAAATTTAGTTTGACAAACGTGAGAACACATACCAAATTTTTTTTTAAGATTTTAAAAATGTATTTATTCAAGGAAAATTCATTTCCAATTCGGCATCCAGTTGACATTAATATCATGAATGGAATTCAATGATAAAATATAGCAGGGAAGAGAAAACGTGCTTCAAGAATAGATTTTAACACCTTTCAAAAGCAGTTTTCATTATTTGTTTTTGTTATACCTTACCCTCAAAATAATTCACAATAAAATATTTAGAAGTCAAATCAATGAAAAACCCCTTTGAGCACACTGTTAAAAAAACGGTGGATCTGTCATAAAAAAAAAAAAATGAAAACACATTTTGGTCAAAAAAAGTGATTTTTGTATTTATCAGCCTCTAGCTTGAAACAGTCAGGGGCGACTTTTGGTACCTTTCTCTAGGCACACACACATTTATGGGCAGATCTTACTGACAAACGTAGATCAAAGACACAAAAATTTTAATTTGCAGTTTACAAGGACACTCAAGCTCTGAAAGTCATCAAACATGTGCAGCCATTTTCTCGCCAACTTTACCTTTGACACAAGGCGACCCCACTTCCTTCAAGAACAAATATCTCGACTGCTATTCAAGATCTCCCGTGTGGTTCTCGGGGCCCTGTCCAAGAGACAGGGGAGCAAAGAATAGGACCACTTAATCCATACCGCGCATGTCGTAGAAGGCGACTAAGGTCGGTTGGGCAAAGGGTTAGCAGCCCTTTCCCGTAAAACAAAAAGCAGCTACAAAAACATCAACAGCAAAAACAACACGACTGCCAGTTCTGGAAGATGGAGGACCTTCATCACCGAGGAGAGGAGAGAATATGGAGTGTAGAATGATGCAGGGTGGTGAAAGCCGAAAGGAAAAGAAGGCTGGACCACTGTGTGTCAAGAGGTAGACCCCCGTCAAGCATCATCAGGCAGGCTTTAAAACGAAAGAAGGGAAGACCAAAGATGACATAGAGACGAGCGGTCTGAAATTGAAAAAGCAGGGACATCATGGAAACAGATAGAAAAGGATGCTCAGGACAGGCTTCGCTGGAGTAATGCTGTTGATGGCCTGTGCTCCACTGGGAGTAAAAAAGGGCAAGAGAGAGCTATTCAAGATATATTCCGGTAGGTATTTTTTTTTTCTACTTTAAGCAACACAAAAGGACAAGTTTTTAGATAAAACCAATAGTTCCATAAGGCCATAAATTGATGAGTGCCTGATTTCGCCACGTTGCGACACAATAAGATCCGGTGGCAAAGACAATTAATGTTGAGTGGGTTTTGAAAACCCACACTGCAAGATCAACAAGGTCATGGAATTGGTCGAGCCTTTGCATACACTTTCAACGTCACCTGTCTTCATTCATCAGGACTGTGGTGAACAAATGCTGTAAAACTTCTGAGAATAAAGCCACTACCAAAGAGTTTCAGTTAGATGCAAGAAAAACATAATTTTGATTTCACATTTTCAAGAAACAGAAAGAGTGAGAGAGAGCTTGCATGGTAAATTTTTCAATCTTTTATCTGAGTTTTGATTGAATTAAAAGCTGGGAATCTGTATATAGGTTAAAAGTTTGTTAAGTACAATAATCAAGTACAAATAAACATTCACATGCGCATATTGGTATACGGTATAACGAAAAATTGGAAAAGGAAAGACATTAAAAATGGCCATATTTGGGGAGGCCAAAAAAGTTGAAACAAAGCCAAAATCTTGTCAAAACAGGCATGACTTATGACAGTGAGTATAATCAAAAGGGTACAGCAAAAACCAAGATTCAACTTTCACATAATATAAAGTCCCATAAAAATAAATGTGTCATACTTGAAAACAAAAACAATTTGGTAAACAGATACTGTTCAATCAAAAAAGCACCTTGTATCAAATTTTAATGTTGACCGAATTAAAGACAAAAAAATTAAATGATATGCAGAAATGCTGTGATTATACTATTCAACAATTACATGTAGGCCTACTAACTTTTCAACTGCTATTGCTTGGCAAATGTTAATGTTTTCTATTTCATACACTGAGGTAAGGGCACTTGATGGGCCAGTCACTCATTCTGGTCACTGTCCTTTAACCTTCCAAGTCCGAGGGTTGTCAGCCAAATTTATCTAGACCTTTGAAATACAGACTCTAAAACCAAGGGACGATCCTAAATTCACTGCCAGAAAAGCTTCTGAAAACATTGGTACAGTGAACATCCAGCTATTACATTTCATTTTGCCTTTTTTCTTACAATGATTGCAGTGTAAGCCATCTTTTATTTCCTAGACAACTTAAAATGCTTCTGTTAGGTCAGAAAGAGAAGACATTACAGTGAAATATTCTTGTCAAAATGTCCTATAGCTATATATTTCCTGATAGCAAACTGGATCAGCTACCCCTTTTTATTATTGGTTGATACCAAATGCATCATTCGGCACTGCTTCTTGCTGTTAACAGTAATATTAAGTCATACTGTAGCACACTCTATGACGGTCCAGTCTCTAAAAAAAAGCATCCTCTCAAACTGATGTAAATGTCACCACAAGCACTAATAACATGTTGTTTCATTTCTAAAAATAGAATTTTTCAGATCTATCTGTTGCTCCTTCTCTTCAGGTACAAGACATGTCACTCTCTAGAAACAGCATTTAACTTACAACACTATAGATGCTGCTACTGGCATTTTTTTGTATTTCAAACAGAAGATGCGGCAGTATACAATCTTTAATTTAGTGTAGCATTTTATACCAGATTAACTGCTTCACATATTACAAACACTCCCAGATTACGCAGCAGTTTCAGGACAAAGTGTACATATCTCTGAAGGCAATCTGATGCTAAAAAGAATTCTCTTCTTGTTACTGAGTGCTTATCAGTTCCTTGGGGATGCTGTACAGAGCCACATCAGAGTGAGGCCCGGCACCACGGCGGTAGTGAGCCTGCACCGTGAAGTGGTACACAGTGGACGACTGTAGTGGTGAGATCCGAGTGGTCAAGGTGGAGCCAGGGACGGTGGTCACTTCACGACTCTTGCCATCCTCTGTCTGGTGGCTGATAGCATAATCTGAGGAACCAGGTGAGGCAGAGAGGAAGTGAGGATAAGTCTTCATTTATATTTTGTACTGAGTCTCAGTTTTCAAAACCCCAAAACCACTTGGTGATGGACAGAAGGACACTGACTAGTGGGCAGATGGATCAACAATAACTACATCAAAATATAACTCTTATTGCACTTCCTTATTTTACCTGTCATGAATCAAATCTAAAAACAACTCTCTCTGTTTCCACTTTGCACTAAGTCACAATGTGGTGTGACTTTATTTCTCTTTCATATCGTGTTCAACCTCTCACAGAACTAGAGTACGAGGAGTTTAACTTACAGAACCACTGTCCATCCAACTATAAACAGTATTAAGCATTTTCACAGAATGCTTCCAGGTGTGCCCGTAGCCCAGTAACATCAAGCTGTGCTGTGGTGCAGATAGCCCATGTTGGAATCCCCAAAGGTGTGTTTTTGATCTTAGGTTGTTAAGGAAGTTCAACAAATTCTCCACCAACTGTTCTATCAGATTAGGACTTTTATTTAAATTCAGAGGGTCCCACCTTCTAAATAACCTTACAGCACAGTTGAAAGGGGTGGGAATTTCCTATAACTAAAGAATGCTTTACCAGGTTTGGCTTTAACGTAACATTTCAAGACCAAATAGTCTGAAAACTTGATTTGTGTCACATTTAGAAAAAAAGGATAAGAAATTAATATACTTTTAACACTGATACAACTGACAGACACTGTGACACTAAACATGATCTTGTCGTGACACGGTGAGAGCAGGCGTTTGTCAATTTTTGGACAAATGGAATTTTTTGTATTCATCTTAGAACTTGGTTCATTTGCCTTGCTTTTAAAGAAAGAAATCCCCATCTTTTTTAAATAGAAGTCGAGATATTTGGATTTGAAGGAGTAGAGGTCACCTGCATTCAGAGGTAAAATTAGTGAGAAAAAGGTCGCCAAACTTTGGTCATTTCTATAGCTTGAAAATCCTTTGAAACAAAAAATTAAAATTTGTTAGGCCTTCAATCAACATTTTTCAGTAGAATCCACCCAGAAATGTGCTTTTAATTGGACATATAAAGTGTTAAGCCAATAGACAAAATTTTGATAAAATCACCAAACTTGCGGAAAAATGCCAGTTTCTTCCATTTCACCATTTTGGCGAGCACCTGATTTTACCATGATGCCTCATGTATACAAGAATAAAAACTCTTACTGACAGAAAAGGGAATATAATAGGAATGATACTACACTATCTCAGAATTACAAAGTTCTTTCTGACATTTTTTGCCGTTTTGAGTTACTAAGACTCTAGGGTCCGAAAACAAATGTTCTATCTGCCCTACCAAAATTGTAAGAAAATTCAGGGTCGTTATCAAGATATTCAAAGAACCGTATTCGAAAAAGCTTGACACGTAGGGCTGCCTACCTTAAAGTTCCCATTTCGGGTAGATTCAGGGTCATTTTCAGGTAGATTGGCCCAAAATCAGGTTGTACAAAGACAAAGAAGAAAAAAAAAATGATCGTTGCCCCATCGAACGCATTTGCTTTCCGTGATATTGGGTAATTATATTTTGAAAATGTGTTTGTGCATGCACATGTGTGTGTGTGTGTGTGTGAGTGTGTGTGTGAGAGTGTGTGTGTGTGTGTGAGTGTGTGTGTGTG